AAAAGTCAAGCAAAACAAACACATCCTGGGCCCAGAAAGGTTGATTCCAAAATTCACCAGTTCCATGTGGCTGCTGTAACAAATTACCACAAACTCAGTGGCGTAAAGCAACACACATGTATTATGTCACAGTGCAAAACATGAGAAGTCTCGCTGGGCAAAACTCAAGGTGTTGGCAAGATAGTGCTTCTTCTGGAAGCTGGAAAACCCATCCATTGCCTCTCCTAGCTCCTCCAGTCCACCTACTTTCCTTGCCTTGTGGCCTCTTCTATTTTCCCAGGCAGCAACCACATCATTCCGAGCTTCGCTTTCATCACCGCATCTCCTTCTTGGACTCTGACCCTACCAGCTTCCTCTGTGAGGACCCTTGTGATTACACTGGGCTCGCCAGGGTAGTTTCCTCAAATTTCTTATCTCAGTCACATCTGCAAAGTCTCCTTTGCCACATGAAGTAAAATGCTCACAAAAGTTTCAGGGATGAGGCTGTAGACGTCTTTGAGGGCTGTTATTCTACCTATCATAATAGTCAACCCTGACATTTATAGCCAAATAAGTTTTGCCTTTTTAAGGTAAATAAACAACTCTTTGTACGGTCAGGCAAGAAAGTCAAGCCACTTATGAGAAGAAAAATTTCTCTTACCTTAGTTTTCTTTAATGTGCATCTAATGCCCAAAGACAGTGGAGAAATTCCTACAACTCAAGAGAAGAAATGGGAATTTTGTATCTAGACAGCTGTCCCTAATGTATAAATGTTTAAATGTTTATTTTTGAGAGAAAGAGAGAGAGTGAGCAGAGGAGGGGCAGAGAGAGGGGGACAGAGAATCCCAAGCAGGCTCTGCACTGACAGCAGCGAGCCTGATGCGGGGCTCGAACTCATGAACCATGAGACCGTGACCTGAGCTGAAGTCGTACGCTCACACCTACTGAGCCACCCAGGCACCCCCAAAGATACAGTTTTATCAGTGCAAAAACTTTGTGAGCATTCTTCTCATGAGCCCATTTTGGGTAAACTACTCAAGAATGGAATTCCAGAAAGTAAGAGATGAATGAGGAAAGCACAGTACAAGCAAGCACCTGCAGTGGGTATTGAATATATTTATCTGTAAAATCCCAAACAAATGAAAGCTTGTAAAGAGAATGATGGCTTGACAGAAAAGAATGGAATCGGGGTGCCTGGGTGGCTCAGTCAGTTAAGTGTCCAACTTCGGCTCAGGTCATGCTCTCACGCTTCGTGGATTCAAGCCCCGTGTCGGGCTCTGTGCTGAGAGCTCAGAGCCTGGAGCCTGCTTCGGATCCTGTGTCTCCCTCTCTCTTTTTCCCTCCCCTGCCCACGCTCTGTCTCTCTCTGTCTCTCAAAAATGAATAAACGTTTAAATAAATAAATAAATAAATAAATAAATAAACAAATGTTCCAAATGACGGATGATGTCAGCAAGATGGCAGTGTAGGGAGCCTTACATATCATCCCTGCACAGAAACATTGATTTAACAATAATATTGGTGCTGAGATACCTTGAAAAGAAATCCAGAATCCAGCTAAGAAGTAGAAGCTAAGTAGTAGAGCACAAACTGAGAAGCAGTCACATTTTTATAGGTAAGAGGAGCGGTTTCAATTTATTCACCTTAGTCCCTCCCCCAAATAGGCGTAGCTCAGCACCAAGAAGGCTGCCTCAGCCTGAGTCCTCCATTGGGGGGTGAGATTGAAGGGTGCACCTGTGCCCTATGGCCTCTCAGAGTGCCTTCTAGGGAGCTGGTTTCCATCATCTCACCCTGTACTTAGTGTGGAATAACCAAAAGAGCTTGGTGCTTGATACAGTTAGAAACAAAGAAAAGGACAGGACAGTCTCTTATACCCAGCATTTTGTTTTGTTTTGTTTTGTTTTGTTTTGTTTTGTTTTGTTTTGTATGACTGAGGAGAAGCAGAGAACAGATTCTTTTCCTCCAGGAGGGAAAGGAGGAAGCAAAGGGGACCTTGCTCCTGTCTGGCCTTAGAGTGGCTGATATCAAGCACTGCTGACCAATGGAGGTGTCTTCCAGGGAAAGTCAGTCCATAGGGAGTAGGAGAGGTAGTGCTTCTTCAAATGCAGAGGCAACAAAGCAACTCTACAGGGAACATGAAGAACCAAGAAAACCCAACATAAATAAAGGGATAAAACAAATCTTCATAAACCTGAAAGAAATGGCTATCGTGAATTATAAATCACTTTCAACTCCAGTATAAAAGTTAAAAGATGAAAGTATTAAAAGAATTATAACTATAGTAATTTGTTAATAGATACACAACATAGAAAGACGTAAACAGGCATATATCAGTAACAAAGTGTGGGGGAGGGAGAAGTAAAAGTGTAGTTTTTATAGGAAATTGAAGTTAAGTCACTACCAGCTTAAAATAGACTACTGTAACTAAGCTGTTTTATGTAAGCCTCATGGTAAACACAAATAAAAAACTTGTAGTAGACACTCAAAATACAAAGACAAAGGAATCAAAGCTACCAGTACACAAAATAAGCAGCAAAGTAAGCAAGACAGTAAGAAAGGGACAAAGGAACTACGAAACAGCCAGAAAACAATTAACAAAAGGAAAATAATAAGTCCTCACTATCAATAATTACTTTAAATGTAAATGGATTAAATTCCCCAATCAAAAGGCATTGAGTGGCTGAATGATTTGAAAGAAAAACAAAATCCAACCATATGCTGTCTACAAGAAAGTCACTCAGCTTTAAGGACACACATAGTGAAGGGCAGGATAACAATATTTCCTCCAATGGTAAACAAAAGAGACAAGAAGTGGCTACTCTTGTATTAGACAAAATAGACTTCAACAAGTCAAAACATGTCACAAGGGATGAACAAGGTCATTACATGATGACAAGTGGATTGATTCATCAAGAGGATAAAACAACAACTATGTATACACACACACACACACACACACACACACACACACACACCACACACACATACACTCAACATTGGAGCCCCTAAACGTATAAAACAAATGTTAACAGATTTGGAGAGACAAATAGATAGCAATACAATAACAGTAGGAAAATTCAATACCCTACATTCAATAAAGGATAGGTCATCCAAAAGAAAATAATAAAGAAATAGTGTGCTTGAACAACACTACAGAGCAGTTGCCCTTAACAGATATGCACAGAATGTTTCATTCTACAGTAGCAGAATATGCACTCTTCTTAGATGCACAAAGAAAATTCTTAAAGATAAATAAAATGTTAGGGCACAAAACAAATTTGAATAGATTTAAGAAGACTGAAATCATACCTAGCATCTTTTCCAACCACAATGGTATGAAACTAGAAATCAGTAACAGGAGAAAAATTGGAAAATTCACAAATATGTGGAAATTAAACAATGCATTCCTGAACACCTAATGGGTCAAAGATAAATCAGAAGGTAGGGGCACCTGGGTGGCTCAGTCGGTTGAGTGTCCAACTTTGGCTCAGGTTATGATCTCATGGTTCATGGGTTCAAGCCCTGCATCAGCCTCTGTACTGACAGCTCAGAGACTGGAGCCTGCTTCAGGTTCTGTGTGTGTCTCTCTCTCTCTCTGCCCCTCCCCTGTTCATGCTTTGTTTCTCTCTCAAAAATAAATAAATATTTAAAAATATATATATTTAGAAGGTAAATTAAAAAATATCCTGAACGAAAGGAAAATGGAAACACAAGATACAAAAACGTATGGGATGCAGGAAAGCAATGGTGCTTAAGTGCCCATGCCCACTAGCAAATACATGTTGTTCAAGGCTTGCTGCTCTCATAAGGCTGACCCATGGGTCCAAAGAGCGAAGCACCCACACAAGCACCCTTCAGTCCGTGGAGATCATGCATACTACTCTGTGCAAGTCATGTTCACGATCAAGTAGCAGCCTCATCTTTTAGAGTGATTCACGGCATTTCTGTTTGGGCCAAATGTGTGAAACAAGCCTTTTCTAAGTCATATGTTAAAGATTTTATCGTTGGTCCTAAGATCTTCTTCTGACCTTAGTTTAATCCTCAGTAAACAGTCTGCTGCCTATTAAAGGTTGCAACCATATGACTTTGGAAAATGCAGAGCAATAAATAATAGAATTTCAAATAGTTCAGTATCTGCGTTACATTCAGGATAATTAAAGTCACAAAGAAAAACACAGATGGAAGATAGCACCCTTGGCAATCATTACAAAGGCCAATCCAAATTCATTCTCTGGGCTTCTTCTTGTTTCCCCATTCCTGACCCCCAGCTTAACCCTCTGACACTCATGAACTCCCTGTTCTGGTTCACCGCCCAGACATTCCCCAGCCCCTCGCCTGCTTTATTTCTCTCCATCGCACTTAATCTTTTCATTCTACATTTTACTTGTTCATTTGCTTTTTCTTTTTTCCTGTTTTCCCGTCATCAAAAGGTAAATTCTGTGAAAGTGAGGAACATATGTATCTTATTCATCGCTAAACCCCACTGCCCACACAGTAACTGGACGTTGCATGTCCTTAACCACTATACGCAAAATAGAAAGCAATCATCTCTCATTGGATTGTCATAAAAGTGTTATGTTTATTTGCACATACGATATATTTATTAATAAATTAATGAATATAAAATATTTATGACCTGTTCAGTTCTATCTTCATCCTGTTAAGATCTCTAAAACCTAACAAATAGGAGAATTAATACTTGTGAAGAAGATCTCAAGTCATTAGAGAAGCCAAAATGATTTCTAAAAAATAAAAAATTGAGTTCGGCTTAGTACTCATTTTGTTTGATCATAGGCTAATTATTTTAAATCTCTAAGTGTTAGTGTCTCTAAGATAAGTCGGCTTGTTGGATTATTACATTCGCCTAAATATTTATTACCCAATCATTTTGATAATGGTTAAATTTCTTACTTTACACCTGATTCTAAGAAGTTGAGGAAAACAGCTGATTCGTGATGAAGTTTGAACAGAATCTTAGAGGTGTGAGTAGAAAAGTTACGGGGGGGGGGCCATCTCATTACCTTTTCGTATAGTAGGTGTGTCGCTGTCTGCGATCAGTTGCAAGCAGTCTTGAATGACTGAAAAGCAAAAATATATCCTTTTAGTTACTTGAATAGGAACACTAAGGGAAGGAAGAAAAGTGCCTGAGTCCACAAAGTTATTTTTCCAGAAACACCGAGCCAATTCTACCTCCTACGGTTCCTGCACATTGTTCTACAATTACTTTGTGAAATTTGCCCACAGATATTTATTATAAATTTTACTTAAAATAGAATATGTCCTTGAAGCTCATGGTTTAGAAAAACCCTACACACTGTTGAAAAACGGTAAGTATATCATCTTTATTGTTCACCGTAACTTGCCTTCAAATATTATGCCTGGACAGAAAGCGAGTTTATTATGTGTTTTTCAAGTCTATCATAGACATGAACCAAACTACCAGAATATTCCAAAGTGATTTTTTTTTTGTTTAAAAAAATCCCTAACGCTAATTAATAAGTCAGTGGTCGTGCTAATAATATTAACATTACTGAAAATAAAAACAATTGCTAACATTTATTGAGCGGATATAAATACAGGCAATCTCACAAAAATCCTAAAAATTACATCCTGGAAACTAAGTCCTGCAAAGTGTAAACAACTTGTTCGGGGCCTGCAGCGGGAAGTGACGGGGCCAGAATTGAAACCATGCCCATTTCACTCTGGAGCCAAAGTCAGGCTTTTGGTAAAGTGTTTTGGACCAAAAAAAAAAAAAAAAGAAAGAAAGAAAGAGGGAACATCGTTAAAAATAAAATGGGAGATTTCCCTGAAACCGCATAATCAGTAAAACTTCTGGGAAGCATCAGTTCGCATCGCATCACTTATCACATGTACAATATTCCAGAAAATATTCAAGGAAAGAGAGAACTATTCTGTTAAATAAAGACAAATGCCTCCAGGTGAACGCAAAATAAGGACATTTTCCATGGGAACAGAAAACAAAGCAGTAAATATCTCTGAAAATCATAAAACAGAAATTTAAGCATGCCTACTTGATATTAAGAAAATACTAGTTTAGAGTTTTTATTATCCAGTAAGTATTTTATTCCGAGTTGAAGTGGGATATTAAGAGCATGCTTCTCTCTGTACACATTTTAAGAGCTTGACACAGTGAATTCTGCTTCAGTTGATTAACTGAAAACATTCTGATATTTACAACACGGAGTAACAGAGGTAATCGTGATAAGTTCTTCCCAAGCTGTGTAAAGACACAGGCCTGCAAAGAATACAGCGAGTATTCACATAAGAAAATCTGTTATCAAGTTTCCCTTGGTATTTCAAGGTGGAAATATCATGTGAACAACTGCAATTCTTGTATGACTCTGAAACTTTTCTAGCACGTTTTCATGTAAACCTGATTTTGGCAGAGGCAGAACATTCTGGACTATTCTGTGATTCTTTTATGGATCTGCAAAACAACGGGAGCCATGTCTATGCCATAGGGAAAATGTGAGCCAGTGCTGTTACGCTGACAGACCTTCTGCCACGACAAATATGTCAAAGCATCAACAGTAGCAAGATGGTCATGAATAAGGGCGGCTTGAGAGAAAGGATTTAACGAAACAGCCAAAGCAGTGAAAGTCTGAGGAGCGTGCACAGGATCTAGGGGAGCCCTGCTAAACCTATTTGAAACATGTTCCTATCTCTCTAACAAACACTTCTTAAGGGCTTACTGCTCAGTTCTGTGACAGATGCAAGGGTCAATCAGAGCATGTGAAGCTTTAATCTTTCTTCCACACAGAAGAAGAGGCAGATGTTGACACAAGTCAAAGTCAAATTTCCAAACGTTCCATCTTTCCTTTGCGGCACATGTACGTGTACACAGAGATTAAATGAGATAATGCATGTGGAGTATTGCGTACTACTCCTGATAGGCAATAATTGCGAAATCAAGCTTGGTTATTACGGCAGTCGCCGTGTTAGCACTCTTGTTCTTGTTCTTTACTGAACCCAGTTAACTGGGCCCATGATGGAAGCCCACAAGGAGAGCACAAAGATCCGATTCACCCAATAAAGAGATAACCAGGTTACCCCCTGTTTCAACTAACCCTTTTCTTGACCACTTACCCAAAACTCCACAGGAGTTTGGAGAAAGACTGATGCCTTGAGGCTACCAAACTGATAAGAAAACATCTAAAGTTTTAATCTCCGCAGCCCAACTCCAGTTGGCTACAACCTACACGTCAAGAAACAATGATCTATTCTATCATGTAGTAGCAGGAATCTAACTTTTAGAAGAAAATACACTACGGAGGGAAAAGTGTGTTTCAAGAAATACTCTTCAGAAAGGAAAATGGAATATTAAAAGAAAAGTTCAACAACAGTATTTGAATTATGCTCACTGAAGCCAGTGCCATTCATTAATTTTCCTTACTCCAGAGAAAGTCACCGGGCTTCTGAAGGAGTTTTGTTGGAAATCAGCAGAGGACTTCCCATTCTGGCTTCCAGAGATGCTGCTTGGGTCCTATCAACCTTATCAATGTTATTTACCTCTTCACTTTCAGCTCTTCCTTTTTAGAAAATTCTATATCCATTGTCATCTTCTCTCTCGTACAATAGTCCTTTAGGACTTTCCCATTCAACACAGATGTGACCTTAAACTATAGATTGTCACTCACAAAAAGTGGGTCAAAAAAGCAACACTTTTTCATCTCTCCCAGTAGCAAAGATATCCAACCACAAGAGTTCTGAGAATGCACAGTCTTGTAAGAAACACAAGATTGGTAGCAAGTATGATGTTCATCGATTGTGTTTAGTTTTTAAAAGTCTTCATACATCTTTCCCTCTACTACAACGGAAGGAAATTTGAAGAGTCTGAGAACAATTTATCTTCTTAACGAATCAAGGCTATAGCATACATTAAAACTTTCCTGTGTGTGATGGGGTCACGCATATTTCTAAATGTATATATTATATATTATAATGATGTGTGGAAAAAAAGGAAAATTGATCTTGTTAAGTACAAATTTACAGCATAATATTTATCCATAATATTAAACTTTGTGTAAAATATTTCTAAAACAAATATATGATATTGACGGCCAAAACAGTTCACAAAAGAGAATTCCTAAAATAAGAGTTTTCAGAACAAAAATAATTTGCTATTGCTCAATATCTGTTACAATAAAATCCAACCAACCTCACAACTAGACTAGCGTTGAAATATTTTCCCTACGGAAAACATCTTGAGTTTGAAAGCCATCTGTTTGCGTATAACCTTTATGTTACATTTGAAACACCATTTAAATAGAAAAAGGGATTGGAAAGTTTACGGGATTGCTGGTATCTGCTGTATTGTTTTCTGTATTGGATCCGAACCTTTTCAAACTGGGATCGGGTTTATTCTCTTTATTTCAACAAAAGTTCGATCTAATATCAACCAGCATAAATACTGCAATTACGCAGATTATACATAACTCCAGTGGAAAACACAGTGCGCTTCCCATTACATTTGCCCCATCCATATGATCCACACCTACTCCTCCTTCGTAGTCCTTTTTACTCTTCTCATTCAACCTTCTTCCAAGCTCTTCAGTCTGGATGAGATGTCCTTCCTGCATTTTCCTGTGTCCCTTCCTCCTTCTGTCTTCTTACTTAGTGCACCACAGGTTTTAAAGAATGAGGACCCTGAAGGCGATGTCTCTCTTTTATTTCTGTATACCTTACCATTCAGTGTATGAGGTCATGAGAAACACAGTTTGATTTTTCCTGAGCTAGTTTTGAATAAATAATCAGTGGCTGGAAAAGTTTAACCAGGATAAATTCCATAAAGACCCCAATACTGACCTAATGATGAACACAGGTTTATGAGGAAACTCAAGAAAGCATGATTTGGGGAAAAACATTTCTATTGGAATGGGAATACAAGAATTTAGGGGTGAAAAACTAGATTATAAATTCTTATTTGATTGGCGATAACCAGTTTGCCAATACAAGTTAACAGAGTTTTAAAAGTATGTCTAGAGAGCTAAATTGAGAAGTATGTATTTGACTTACCAGGAAAAAGAAAATAGAAATTCCTAATCTTCACAGGGGCCTGCCTGATATATGTTGTGCTTGAGAAACGTCATACATGTGTCCTTGTGGAGACTAAGTTGCCACACGGACAAGAGTGAGAACAAAGGTTCAGCTGTTGACTGGCATAAATATAATATAAGGGTGATTTGATCCCCAAAGCAATTATATAAATACAGCATCCAAGATAAATTGTGAAAAAAAATTAAAAGTTTGTGACTGAGTGTGTGTTTGAAGGAAAATTAAAAACTAATAATAAAAACAAGTTTTCAATTCTGGGTAATTCAGAAAGGTGGTAGCACTACAATGGCCCTGAGGAAGTAAAAAGGGGTGCTGGTTCTTTGGGGGTTTTGGAAAGAAGTTGACAGAGCAAAACAGAAATCACGACAGTTGATAGCAGTAAAGAAAGATATTATCTGAATGGAAGACTGTGTCTGTGTGCGTGTGTGTGTGTGCGTGCGTGCGTGCGTGCGTGTGTGTGTACAGAGTCCTAAGCATTAATTGGACATTGTCACACTGCCAGGTACCACTCCTGATTTCAGTATTTTCTATGCCTAAAGCACTGTAAGGATATATAAAATGGCAGTCCTTTGTCTTGGCTCATAAACACTAAGAGTAAAACACAAAACAAAACAAAACCCCAGGAAACAAAATGCCATCTTCCTAAGTTATTTCATTTTACAATTGATGAAACATTTTAATTTAAAATGACTAATTTTATAGTTGAGTCATCAACTCCACAGGATATGGCTTCCCCCTCCCCCTTTTACCATGAATTCCTTCCATCGCTTTAGAACACTTCTCATTATTAATGGTGTATACTCAGAAGGCACTGGGTATAGGTAACTTACCAGTGATGAAAATTAGCTGCATGATACGATATGCACACATACTTGAAGCCAAGGAAGGTAAACACAAAAATATACCTAATGCTTGGAGAAAGCTATCAGTGAATTGCACAGCCAGCCCTTACACCTTCCAAGTCGCCTTGGACATCTCTGCCTGGCTGCCACAGTGACAATTC